TCTTAGGAACTTAGAGCTGGTTTCATTCATTCATTCATTCATTCATTCAATAAATATTGAGCATCTAATATGTGCCATTTACTCTATAAAATACTAAGTAAAACAGACTTGATTTCTATCCTTTTTAATACAATTCATGATATTTATGAAGTGTGGATTATGTTTTATGATGTAAGTACACATACCTATGTACCCTTGCACACATACATTAAAACTATATAAAAACCTTTTATTTCATTCCCTTCTAAGAATATGTTTTCATTGATTTTCTTTCTTCCTTTCTTTTTCTTCTTCTTTTTTTTTTCTTTTTAGAGAGACAGAGGGAGAAAAACATGGATGTGAGAGAAACATTGATTGGTTGCCTCCCAAATGTGCCCCAACCAGGGATCGAACATGCAAACTTTTATGGTGTGTGAGATGATGTCCAAAGAACTGAGCCACCTGGCCAGGGCTATACGGAATTTTTCAATAAAAACTCTGTAATGGTCTATGTGTCCTGAACTTTGGGGGGGAAATGCATTTGCTCTAAATGCTTAGACCTAGGCCTAATAATCATAGGCACTCATTACTCCGGGAATCGTTAGGGCTTCCTCTGAAGACTGGCAAATTCTTGGAAAGAGGAAAGCAAATATGAATTATGCTACTTGTACTAAATCCTTGGGGTTTATTGGTAAATTTATTTCAGGGTTGCATATTAGAGAAAGAAAAACTTTGTTTCCTATGTTGAAGGTTTACCTGAAATACATTTGACTTATGATCACCATTTATTCACTATTTTCCAATGAACTTGCTTTGAAAATAAGTGAAGAGCAGCTCTCCTTTCGTCCCTGAAGTGTTCGGGGAGGATGTACTCAGATGTTTCCACTGGGTCCCAGCTGAGACAGCCGATTCCCTCTGTCCCAGTGGTTGGCTTGCTGCCTTCTTGTATCGACCAAAGTGGACACAACAACTATGCGATATGATCCCAAAGGCATACCTAGTTAGTTCTAGCTGATGGGAGACCAGGAATTTGTAGCAGCTCCTCCTTGTCCACAGGAGCTGCATTCCAAGGCCCCCAGCGATGTCTGAAACCAGTATCAAACCCTATATATACTATATTTTTCCTATGCATACATACTTGATAAAGTTCAATTTATAAAGCATTTTCATAAATAGAAGATTCATTTTTACCTTAGATCTTTGCAAACTCAGCATACCATTTTTTTCCTTATGAATTTGAGAACTTTCACCATTTTACTTAATGGAAGCACTTTATTGCTTCACTTTGTCATATCCGAATTGCAAGCATCACTAATCTTGGGTTTTGGGCCATCTATACTAATAAAGGGGTAATATGCTAATTAGGGCAGACGTCCATCCAGATGTCCATCTGGGACTCAGGCAGCCATGGGCTCAGGCAGCCTTAAGCCCAGGAGGCTCCGAGGCACAGGGCTCATTGCACCCTTGAGCTCAGGCAGCTGCAAGGCTCAGGGCTCACAGCTGCTATGAGCCCTGGAGGCTGCGAGGCCCAGGGCTCAGGCAGCAGAGAGCCCCAGAGGATTTGAGGTTTGGGGCTCAGGCCTCACAGCTGCCATGACCAGCAGTGGCAGCACACTAGGGTAATGGGGCAGTGCCTTTCCCTGATCAGCCCAGTTGCCTCCTGCAGAGGAAGGCCAGACTGAGGCACCAGTAGGACATCCCCTGAGGGCTCCCAGACTGTGAGAGGGGGCAGGTCAGGCTGAGTGACCCTCCCCCCACCAGTACATGAATTTTCATGTACTGGGCCTCTAGTCTATAATAATAAAAGCGTAATATGCTAATTAGACTGGACAGCTGAACGACCTCCGGATGTCATTCTGGACATCCTCCCGGATGAAGCTGCTGCAGCAGGGGCTGAGGCAAAGGTGGTTAGGGGTGATCAGGCATCCAGGAAGAGGGGTTAGGGGCAATTAGGCAGGTAGGCAAGTGGTTAGGGGCAATTAAGCATGCAGGCAGAGTGGTTAGGGGCAATCAGGCAGGCAGGCAAAGTGATTTGGGGCAATCAGGCTGGCAGGCAGAGGGGTTAGGGATGATCAGGCAGGCAGGTGAGTGGTTAGGGGTGATCAGGCAAGCAGGTGAATGGTTAGGGGCAATCAGGAAGGCAGGAAGAGTGGTTAGGGACTATCAGGCAGCAGATAGGCGAGTGGTTAGGAGCTAGTGATCTCAGCATGTGAGAGGGATGTTGGACTTCCATTTTAAATTGGCAGTCAGACATCCCCCAAGGGGTCAAAGATAGTGAGAGGGTGCAGGCTGGGCTGAGGGACTCCCCACCCTGTGCAGGAATTTCGTGCACCAGGTCTCTAGTCTATATAATAAAAGCCAAAACTACTGTTATGGTGGAATGACCAGAACAACTGGTAGCTATGATGTGTACTGACCACCAGTGGACAGACGCTCAATGCAGGAGCTGCCCCTGGTGGTCAGTGCGCCCCCACAGGGGAGCACTGCTCAGCCAGAAGCCGGGCTCACGGCTGGTGAGTGCAGCAGAGGTGGCGGGAGCCTCTCCTCCCTCCACGGCAGCGCTAAGGAGCAGCAAACTGAGTTGTAAGGAGCAGTGAGCAGGCAGGCTATAAGGGGAGAGGGGTCCTGGACTGCAAGAGGGATGTCTGCCTGCTGGCTTAGGCCCAATCTCCACGGGGAGTGGGCCTAAGCCAGCAGGCAGACATCCCCCAACAGATCCTGGACTGCAAGAGGGCATGAATTTTGTGCACCAGGCTTCTAGATATTACATAAAATAGCTTTTACTTGAACACCAGCACTGTGATACCTTAGCAGCTGATAAGTGACTAAGGACAGGCAGTATATAGGGTATGTCATGGTGGACAAAGGGATGACTCACATCCTGGGTGGAACAGAGTGGGAAGCAGGACATTATTCGCACTACTCAGAATGGTGCACAATTTAAAACTTATACATTATTTCTGGAATTTAATTTTTTCAGATCTCCATTGACTCGAGATAACTGAAACTGCAGAAAGCAGAGCCATGGTTCAGACAGACTACAGTAAATAGATGGTTGGGTATTGCTGCAAATAAAAATGGGGCCTGAGGGAGTAAAAAGGAAAATTCTACTGCATTGCTACATTATGTACATTAAAAATCATATACCCATACACAAAATATGAAGAATTTTAAACCAGGGATATATGTATATGTAAATTATTGGCAACATTTTAGTTCTTGCCTTGGGTGAGAGATTCATACATACTCATGAATCATGTATGTTTCTTATAGCATATGACATATAGAATAATTTAAATGAAAGGGGACTTTGGACCAAAGATGATGAGAAGTAATAAGTTAAAAATAAAATTAATCTAGTTCTGTGCACTAGAATTTCTAAAACTTCGATTTTAAAAGCTTAAGATGATCATGAGAATATTAAACAATATTTTAATGTCTTCCTAACTGCAATTGGGTCATTCGGTGTTATCTGAAATACAGTATACTTTGCACTCCATTTAGCATTACCTATATTGTATGTAAATATTTTAAATAACACTCTTGAACATTTATTTATTTACTTTTTTGTCAACCTCTTGTCATTTAATTCTTTTAAATGTCACAATGTGACTGAAAAACAGTGTGTACTACGAGCTCTTCCTCTGACTGGCTAACAGACTAGATACCAGTACATCTTAAGTCAGTGTTTCTTTACAAGAATAATTCAAATCACTTTGTGCTGATTGAAACTGCATAATCCAATGCCTACAGCTGCTTGACTAGCTTCACATCAACTGCCCTATATGGTGACATTTGGGCAGCTGCATGCATGGAACTGCCCTGTCCATGAGTCTCCTTGGAAAAACTCCCTTTTCTCTCTCAGTTGCCATGGGTACCATATGGACTAATGCAGAACTATACTCAAGTGGGATACAATAATGTTGTCATACTGGTTATTAAAATATAAAATTCAATTACTTTTATTCCAGGTGTAAATAGCCATTCTCCCAAGCCTCCAAAAATACCTACCAATCTGACCCTCCCTCTCTAGACTTCCATATCGCCCCAAGATACAGCAACTAAAGAGTTAACACCTACAACTTTGTGGCTGGTGTTCAATCTGATTGGTCTGTCTGGTCAATGTACATTTTGGGGGATACATCCTTGGGCCTCTGATATCAAAACTGGGTGAGAGTGTGAGAATAGTTTATATGTTAAATATTACTTTAGCTCAAATTCATTTTTATTTGTTTAAGTAAAAATAGACAGAAATTGTCATATTCTCTCCCTGAAGCCTACTTATAACCTTTGAACTTACAATATCTAAGGTTTCTTTGAGATTACAAAACAAGAAATCTCCTGTGATTTTGTAATCCCAAAGTGGAACTCTTCAAATTCAAAATTATAGTATTTCATATATAAAATTCCATTTTACAGACAATTTTTTAGAAATATATCTGTTCTGCCCTGCCAGTGTTGCTCAGTGGTTGAGCATCAACCCATGAACCAGGAAATCACACTTAGATTCCCAATCAGGGCACATGTCCGGGTTGTGGGCTCAACCCCCAGTAGGAATATATAATATATATATATATATATATATATATAATATTTATATATATATATAATATATATATATATATATACCTATATATTATATATATACACACATACTCTAAACATATTTACTGCTATTTTTTTCATATAAATAGAAATAAGGAAACTAAAACATGATATAGAAATCCAATCTTCATTGTTCTTATCAACTTGCTAAGAGAAGACTCAAGGTCATGTATTTAAGGGGGATTCTGAATATGTAAATGCTTTAGCAGTTGATCATATTTATACATTCAGACTTTCTATGTGGCTGGATACTCTGTGGGCAGTTTTCTACTTCTATTGAATTAATTTGGTAATGTTACTGTTTGAAATAGCCCAGGATAGTTTTCTGCCGCTCCTGGTGCTGCTTGTGTGCTCGTTTGGTGCGGACTTGGTACCTCTTTTGTGAAGCAGCAGCTGAGGAGGCTCGGGCGCTCGCCATGGCCAACGAAAAGCCCAAGGAAGGAGTCAAGACTGAGAACAACGATCATATTAATTTGAAGGTGGCGGGGCAGGATGGTTCTGTGGTGCAGTTTAAGATTAAAAGGCGCACACCACTTAGTAAACTAATGAAAGCCTATTGTGAAAGACAGGGTTTGTGAATGAGGCAGATCAGATTCCGATTTGAGGAGCAGCCAATCAATGAAACAGACACACCTGCACAGTTGGAAATTGAGGATGAAGATACAATTGATGTGTTCCAGCAGCAGACGGAACACTAAAGAGGGAGCCTGCTACTTTACTCCAGAACTCTGTTCCTCCAGACCAAGCAGACATTCTCAATTAGAAAACTGCAATTTGGTTTCAACACATCTGACGACTACAGTATAGTTTTCTCTATTCTTTCACTTTCCTCTTCCTCATTCCTTTATTGTACATAAAGTAACTGATGTATGTGCACAAGCATTTGCATTTTTTTAACTAAATGGCCAATGGTATGTTTTGATCTACATCAAATGGAGATGGGGTGGGGAAAAAATACTGGTTCTGTGAAAACACCCCCTCACTCCATTAGTGGCATGCTCACCCAGCTCCGATCTTTATATTCCAGCAAGTTATTTTGCTCTCACTGTTTAACAAAAAAAGAACAACATAAAAATTCTTGCATGCCTTGTTTGATTGGAGAATTTTAATGTTTTTCATTTATCATTTAAAACCAAGGACAATTTTATAACTTTTTTGTACGTAGCTGTTACATGTAGGGCAATCTGTCTTTAAGTAGGGATAAATTACTCTAAAAAAGTGAATTCTAGATAGTTTTCCCTTCAAGTCAAGTGTCTTGTTGTTTAAATAAACTTCTTGTTTAAGAAAAAGAAAGAAAGAAAGAAAGAAAGAAAGAAAGAAAGAAAGAAAGAAAGAAAGAAAGAAATAGCCCAGGATATAGAAAAAGGTCAATGATTTTCAAAAATGTCACCTTTCCTATGGCGAGAATGGCATTTTGTTTTCTTAAAAACAAAAATAAAGCATTTGTACTAAAATTTTCTCTGTGAAGACGCCTAGGAATCTAATCTATGTGTTACCCCACTGATAGAAACTAATTGATCTTCAGGTAGGTTCACTGGCTTTCCCCAAATAAGCAGAAATATGTTGAGCCATCAAAACCTCTGGGCAGTTGTTTTTTACTTGAGTATGGCAAGATGAATAAAACACTTCCATTATACTTAGAACTTTCTCTTTTTAGCCAAGAGACAAAGGCTGGAGTTTCTTGATGTCCATAAAATCTTCCAGTTTCTCAAAGGACTGAGGATAAGCTAAGTTTGAACTCAAACCCAACACCATGTTGGTGCATCCCACTGGATTCTGTTGTTTTCAGAGAGGATTTGTAAAGAGCAGAAATGTTTCTCTCTGTGCAAAGACATCTTAGATTCAGAAAAGTAAAAGCCCCAGATCAAATAAAGCCCCCAGTCAACTACCCTTTAAGTGTACTAAGGACATCAAAAGCAATGTATAGTCCATACATCAAAACAAGACAGCAGCCTAATAAAATCCTCAGTACCTAGTGAGGTTCTGTTTTAATGAGATAACACATATACTCCACGGTGGATTACACATTCTGGAGTAAATTCACATTTTAATGTCTATTTGATGTCCATAAGCTAATGGACAAAAGGACAAGTGCCCACCTGCTGAATAGAAGCTAGAGAAAAAAACACACAATCCTTTAAATCACAATACTAATAGGAAGTGTATTCACCAGGTAATTTTTTTGCAGTATCTCATTTAGAACTTTCAACTATCTTAAAGTGTTAGACATTAATTACTTTGGCCCCGTCTTAGTAAGGTTCATAAAGACGAATTATATTGTCTGGGGTCAAACAGGAGTGGAGCAGGGATTGAAATCTGGTCTTTCTGACCAGATTTTATGCATGAAATCGGGATTCTGTTATGAAAGGCAAGATATTCATAGGCACATTCATGCTAGGCATATTACATAGTCTCTCATTTAATCTCCACAACATTAATTCTTCTTTGCATAGCTGCAAGTTAAAAGGTACATGTTGAAAGAACACACGTAGTCACAGAAAACGACTGCATTTGATGCTTGGTCAATTCCAGGAGGAGAGAGAAAATAGCAAAAGGCAGAAGCCAGAGCTCAGACGAGGGGCACCTGGGGTCAATGTGACATCACCCACCACAGCCCAGGAGGACACTTCTGACCTATAGAAGACAAATGTTTGAGCACTTTTATGCAATGCTTCAAGCACAGGATTATCCCAGCAGGCATGGAGACTTGGGGAGCATCCAGGCATCTGTGTTAAAAATGAAAAAGACACTGAGATAACAAAAGTTGACAAAAGTTTGACACAGGCCCTTCTGTCCCTCAAAGGCATTGTGATAACGGCGACTCTGTTTTCTATCAATCATTTCCTACTAATACATTGAATTGGTTTTAACTCAGAAAGTATCACCCCAGACTTTCAAATAACACATATTTTAATTATAGAAGAGAAAAATGTAAAAAATAATATCTTCTAAAGTAGTCGCTTTCCTGGGAAACAATTATAATCTCACTACATGAGTTACTTTTGCATGTTGGTACACTGTTCTCGTTTCTGTATAGCACAGCGATTTGCAACTTTTTCATCTCATGGCACAGATTATTAAAATTCTGCAGCACACCAAAAATATATATTTTTTGCTGATCTGACAAAAATATGTGTAAATTTGACTCATTCACACCAGATGCTATTGTTGTGTTGGCTGTTGTTGTATTTTTATTTGACAATCTAAGGTAAAGAGGTCAGTGCCCCTGACTAAATAGGTATTACATGTTTTAAAGATACCTGGGACACATGGTTGAAAATCACTGGTATAATATGATCTCCTACTAATTGCATAAATTAGGCTGCATTTGGGTACAAGCAAGGAGAAACCAAAGTGGAGTGAGCTAAACAGCCAGAAGCTCATTTCCCTCCGTGACAACAAGCCCAGTGGAAGGCATGTCCTGGCCTAGGTCTGGATGACTTCAAAATGTCATGAGGGGCCAAAAGCATAGAGACAGCTACATCTCCATTACCACATCCAAGTTCAAGGTCAAAAGGAGGAAATAGACAGGAAGATAAGAGGGTTTTGTCTCAAGAGATTTGTCTTTTTATTCAGGAAAGAAACCTCCTCTCCTTCTACCCATCTCCTATTCCACCCCCTCCGTCTATATCCCTGTGCCCCCTAGTACCCCTTCCCTTAGGTCTCATTGCTCCCTGGCCAGTGGGAGGAAAACAGGGCACCTGACTGATATCCATCAGCAGTCACCTCTGGGCAAGCCCAGAAGGTCAATCACCTTGACCGCAGGTGATCTCCACCAGATGCCTGATAAAACAGTGCCATCTGCAGGGGTGCCTGGGGTGGGCAGGCAGGCAGCTGCTGAGCAACCACTAAACCTCTGTACATGACCACAGGAGTTTCAAGCAAGGAAGAGTGGTTTGATTAAAATTACTGTCTGTGTTTATAACCCAAAGAGAATAGAACAACAGAAATTCATCTTAAAACATCTATATTTACCTTTATAAATAAAACAAAGACTGGGACCACACATACAGAAAGCAATTGATATAAAAATGCAATTTAGGAGTCATGATTCTATTTCCTTTAAAATTAAATTATATTATGCATACTTCAGACCAACACATTTTAATCTGTAGTTTTGAAATACGCAAAGTGCTTATCATACTAAGAAAATGGAATGATTAATGCAACTACTATATGTTCTGCGGCCTATTTCTAGTAAAACATTACTTTTCCTCCATGTCATCAGTGTGGCACCATTATTTCAAAGGCCATGAACTGTAACAATTTATTTTTGAAAACAAAATCTTAGATGGCAATGACAATGTGTAAATGTACTAATTTCTAGATAATGAAATGTTAAATTCCTAAAAGGCAACTATAATTAAATAGAGGAAAGAGAAACTCTACTGGTAGATTGCATTTATTTGTTGCATACTTCAATAAGACACCATTACTTATTTAATGTTTTAAAGATTTAATTTATGTTTTATTATCCTTCTTATGAACAACATAAATGGTAATATCAGATGATAAATGTTAAGAAAAGGGGAGAATATTTCAAAGAGCCTAGGTAAAAAATGCTATTTACAACTTAATCATTTCGATTCTGTGACATTAATAATTTATCAGAAGCTGCAGCCCAGGGGCAGTTCAATATGTGTAATTTATCTCCTGGAATCACTGCTGATGGCCAGTTAACCTAATATGTCCTGAGTGACTCAGCTCGTTAGAAGATAATTTAGTAACTGTCCAGCAGTTGGCTCCCTTAGAAATTCCGTCATCTGCCTTCCTCCCCAGAAAGTTCCATGATAGTCATGCTAGAAACGCTGAGGCTTTAGATTAAATACTAGATTCTTCCCAGGTAGCTCTTACATGAATAGTCATAGGCAGTGCCAGATGCTTCCTGATACCACACCAAGAATGCTCTATTAGGGCGAAATGTTTTTATTCGTGAACTATGCAAAAACATCTCATTCTTTCAAGACCAAAGCTGACTTGTTACTAGAGAGCCCTCAGCTGCACTGAGTTTCATGTGGTATTTATTCTGGGCAACAATCCAAGTGTCTCTTGTAATTTAGAAAGTGGATGCATATCAGAACCAAATTTTCTTCTGATACCAGATCAAAGGGTGGGGGGTGCAGATTTCACCCTCTCATCCCTCTGCGGTTCGGCAGAGCCGCCATCTTAAGGAGAAGCCCAAGCAGGAGCACACAGAACAAAGCAAACGAACGAAAGAGCTTGAGATCCTAACAAAATGCCCATTTGTACCTTGGTAATGGGTTAACCGGTAAGCATTGTACTGGTAAGGAAGCTGGCCTATTTTGGAAACATGTTACTTTCATTCCATGGCAGAAGTAAAAATTTTAGTGAGCCATTATCAGAAAAGACATCTTAGACTAAGATAATGATCAGGCCAATTTGCCGTCAGAAATCACCCCTTGTTATTATTTCTCAGTCTTCCTAAGCGTTGGCGGCAGAGAGCAGGGCGCCCTGGCCTGTGTGGATTGTCTGGGCTGGGTTTTACCTAATAACCTGAAGAAAGCATTAACCTCCTTCCGTCCCGAGTTGGCCATCGGGGCTGAGTGCCTTTTGTCTGGATGTGCTCCGGCCAAGGCAGTGAGGCTCCCGCCAGCACCGCCCACACTGCACCAGTCCTGGGGCAGCTCCCACGGCTTCCTTGGTTGGGAGTTAAAGCTAACTGGGAGGATTCTGAGTG